GTGATTGGTGATGAGAAAGTGACTTCTGCTACATGGAGTTCACCCCAGTCCCCACCACTTCCCAACCTTGCTCATTCCCATACCTGTCTGATCCCTGGAAGTATCTGAGTTTTCAACATAATAGTATGACTCATAAGCCAACACAGAAGTCCTGAAAACAATATCTAACGGCTGACTGGGAGGTGGGGTGAACTCTGACTTTCATTTTGTAAATCACGATTACTGTATGACAAGCATGTAGTGATTTCACAAGAGTATATGAAAACATTTTTCCTTCTCCCTAAACAGTAACCCATAGTGGAGACAGAGAGTGGGGACAGCCAGGCGCTCGGACTCTTACCCTAATACATATTCATGACTTAAGTCAGGATCCTGCAAGCAAATATTGGCAAAGGCATCAGTTCTGGCCAGGAGGTCTAGATCAAGGGGGAAGCAGGAAAATCACTGAGAATATAAACCGCTCTGATCAGTAACCAGGACACCATGAGCGAAAGGCTTCTGGCTGAGCAAACTGCTCCTCAGAAAACGAAATCGAATTCTGTGGATTACGGACACCTGATTCTGAGTTTCTTGATTCCTCCACCCCCAAAACAAAAGGAAGCTTTCTAAACTCTTACACAAGATTTATTTAATAACTTATTTATTTCAATGTGCAGTCTTATATTGCTGGCCACAAAATTCTTATTACTGAAACGAATATGGCTTTTCTATCCTATGACCATCTTTTTTGTTTGTTTGTTTACCTAATTTTGGATAAATCACAATTTCATCTCAATTATACTCTCCCTGACTGTGGGAGATTTCAATCGATAGTCTACTTCTCCTTCTCCTAAATGCTACCGTCGCTGCTAACAGCAGAGGGCACTAGGGTGCAATGAAAAGAAAATGGATCTAGAATCAGGATCTGGCCCTGGGAACACAGGCACCTGCCTACACCGTCCACAGGGACCTCAACTGGCCTTCTATAAGACGAGGAGACTGACTCACAGTTCCTTCTGAGTCTGTCAGAGAAGTTGGCAAACCGACTCAGGGACCAAATCTAGCGTAACACCTGTTCTTAGATGGCCTGCAAGGGTATTTACCATTTCTAAATGGTTGGAAAACACCTAAAGGATTCATAGTTCATCAAATACACACATTATAGGAAGGTCAAATTTCAGTGTCACAACCACGCACAGCCTGTGGCTGTTTTATGAACACAATGACAGTGTTGAATAGTTGCACTGTTGAGAAAGAGACGCATAAAGCCTAAACTATTTACTATCTGGCTCCTTACAGAAAACGGGACAATCTGTAAGATTAAAATGATGTGGAGGACTGCCTTTTCTACCCATACCACTCGCTGGCTGTCTAACTCATAATCAGCAAAATGATCCAAGCACAAGCTGGTAAGGGGATCGTATTTTGGAAAAGGGACTTTAAAGTCTACTGAAATGGAGAATCTCATTTACCGCTTAGAAAAGCCATTCGAATAATGAGTTTTGTCAGGAATTCTACTGTCAGTTCAGTCTTTTTTTTTTTTTTTTTTTAAGATTTTTATTTATTTATTTGTGAGAGAATGAGATAGAGAGAGAGCATGAGAGGGGAGAGGGTCAGAGGGAGGAGCGATGCGGGACTCGATCCCGGGACTCCAGGATCATGACCTGAGCTGAAGGCAGTCGCTTAAACCAACTGAGCCACCCAGGCGCTCTGTCAGTTCAGTCTTGCTATGTCCCGAGGAAAGAGAGAAGCTTAATTAAACACATTACACATGCTCTCAGATTCCTCTAAAACTGTATTTCCTGAAATATGGAACAGGATACAAAACAGTGGTTCACAGACCAGCATGTTCTATTTTACAAGTTAGGTATTAACTTAATGTGCATTAGAGAAAAAAATGCAACAAGCAATTTAAGCACATGAGTTTATACGTACTATTCAGCTTAGGATAAAACGCTGTTGCAGATTTAATATTTAAGTATACAGTTAAAACAGAGGTACCAGCATGCGGCAAAACTGATGCTGATGAACATTCGGGCAACACTGCTGCCCAGTTAGAACACTTTCTCAAAAGCAAGCTCTCTAGGAGTGGTAACAGGCTGCAGAGTTGGTGTGATTACGTGTTTTGTTCGCTTGGCTTAAATGCGATCATGTAATGAATAAAAGTGACCTTTTTTGGGGCTCCTGGGTGGCTCAGTTGGTTAAGTGACTGCCTTCGGCTCGGGTCATGATCCTGGAGTCCCGGGATCGAGTCCCGCATCGGGCTCCCTGCTCAGCGGGGAGTCTGCTTCTCCCTCTGACCCTCCCCTTCTCATGCTCTCTCTCTCTCATTGTCTCTCTCAAATAAATAAATAAAATCTTTAAAAAAAAAAAAGTGAGCTTTTAAGAACTCTGGTCTCGGGGCGCCTAGGTGGCTCACTTGGTTAGGCAACTGCCTTCAGGTCGGGTCATGATCCCGGGTCCCTGGGATCAAGTCCCACATCGGGCTCCCCCTGCTCTATAGGGAGCCTGCTTCTCCCTCTCCTCTGCTTGCCACTCCCCCCTGCTTGTGCTCTCTCTGTCAAATAAATAAATAAAATCTTAAAAAAAAAAAAAAAAAAAAAAAGAACTCTGGTCTGAAACTGAGAGGCAAAAGCAAATTTCTGTTCTGAAAGTATGTCACCAGAAGTTGCATCATCCTAGAACAAAGCTCTGAAATAAATGCAACCGAGCGCCTAGGACCCCATGGTTAGGGTCAGAACTGGGGAAAGAGATTGCAGCCTTTATTTTGAAGAACCAAAAGCCACTGGTACTTAACTCTCTCTCCACATACAGCCATTCTGAGAACAGCTACAAGCAGTACTTGAAAATTACCAACCAACCAGGAACAAGAAACAACACAACCAAAATGGGTGGAATTCCTTGAGCTCATTTGACAGGGTCCCCATCCTTTTACCTTCTGGGGACTTCGGCGGTCTCTTGAAGAACAGGCGCCTGCTCCTTAAAGAGTTCTTACGTAAAGGGAGGAAGGGAGGGAGGGATAAAAGAAAGAGGAAGGGGAAGGGAGGGGGTCTGAAGGGCTGTCCAAGCTTAAAACATTGGTCAGAAGCCTCAAACTGATGGTCCAATCTACAGATGTGCTTTATTCATTCTGGAAAACATCCGAAGACATTTTGAGTTGACATTTAATATTTGGGGGTTTTATATAAAAATGCAAATCCCCCACTTCTCTGGAATAATGAGAAGATCAGAAAACCAAGAGGCCACATTCCTACATGGCAACCATGGGCTGAAGCCCTTGAGGTGAGGCATGTGTCCAGGGGTTCACCAGGTCCTGCCCCCTCGACCAGTCTCCCCAGCCCAGAGCCTGAGAATTGGCTGCCTTTCATCATCATGATTAGTGTAGAAGCTTCTCTGTGCCCATGCCTCTCAGCGGTAGACCAACAGAGGATAAACAGTGAAGGCCATGTTTTAAGAAAAATAAGAGTAAACCCATTTCCTTGTGGAAGCAATAAAGCTCCTTAGCATTGGACATGCAACCAAATAATAGTTGGGGAGAAAGAATTCCATTTAAGTCACCGTTACTTTCCTTACACTTGGCCAGCACCCCTCATGCACGTCACCTCTCCGAATCCGTGTAGGCATTTGCTGAACAACCACCATAAGAAATAATATAGCAGCCCACATCTTTGTAGCACTTCCTGTTTTAGGCACTATTCTGAGTGCTTTCTGTATACGTCATCCTTTAACCCCTCAAAAGAACCTATGAGGCAGGTCCATTACTATGTCACATTACAGATGAGGGAACTGAAGCATCAAGACATTTAGTATCTTGGGGCGTGCAGGTGACTCAACTGGTTGGGCATCTGACTCTTGATTTCGGCTCAGGTCATAATCTCAGGGTCGTGGGATTGAGCCCCATCTCAGGCTCCACGCTCAGCGTTGAGTCTGCTTACAGTTCTCCCTCTTCCTCCACCGCCTGCCCCCACTCACGTGTGCACTCTCTCTCTCTCTAAATTAAATAAAGAAAATCTGTTTTAAAAAAGACATTAAGTGTCTTGCGTAAAGCCGTGTGGCTAGTGAGTGGCAGAGCTGGGATGTGAGATGAGCAACCTCATTCTTCACCACCCCTCTACAGCAAGTGTCTACGACCTTTCTTGAGGAATGGGAGTGCTCCGGGGAGAGGACGTAATCGCTGACCTTATGCCCTGCTCTAATATTTGAGCACTACATAACGGGAAGGTAGAGTTTGGGCAGACAATCCTCTGATTAAAATAACATTCTTTTTTTTTTTTTAAAGATTTTATTTATTTATTTGACAGAGAGAGACACAGCGAGAGAGGGAAGACAAGCAGGGGGAGTGGGAGAGGGAGAAGCAGGCTTCCCGCGGAGCAGGGAGCCCGATGCGGGGCTCGACCCCAGGACCCTGGGATCATGACCTGAGCAGAAAGCAGACCCTTAACAAAACTGAGCCACCCAGGCGCCCCCCCTAAAATAACATTCTTGAGAAACAAACTGTTACGGAAAGTTTTGCTGTGATAATCCAAGAGCCAATGTGACCTGAATTCTGAAGGATTACTGGCCGCCTCTGCCCACTGCTAGGAATGACCTCCATCTGGCCTTTGGGGACCACTTTTCTCCCTTCTCGATTCCTAACAGCAAGAATCCCACCGGGTTATCCATTTAAAATTTTTTTTTTTTTTAAAGATTTTATTTATTTATTTGAGAGAGAGAATGAGAGATAGAGAGCACGAGAGGGAAGAGGGTCAGAGGGAGAAGCAGACTCCCTGCAGAGCAGGGAGCCCGACATGGGACTCGATCCCGGGACTCCAGGATCATGACCCGAGCCGAAGGCAGTCGCTCAACCAACTGAGCCACCCAGGCGCCCTCCATTTAAAATTTTAAATATGCTCCACTGGAGCGAAACCCCGTAGAGATCCCTTGCATGGAGGGGCGCTGGTCCGCTGGACCCTGACAAGTGTGGCCCCAACGGAAGCCCCATGTCCCAGGGGCCTCCTCCCCATCTCCCACCCCAGGCTGACCTGTGCTCTTGTCCAGGAAATCCATGGACTCCTCACTGGCACTGAAGTGGCTCGAGGTGGCCTTCTTCTCAGCATCCTGCTCCACATCGGAACCCGTGTGCACAGAAGAGTTTGTACTCATGGGGGAGCGGGGCATATCGGATAAGGAGATCCTGCGGCCTGCACCCCCACTCAGCATGGGCTTGCTCATCAGGATCTTGGGGGACGCCGTCATGTCAAAGTTGAGCTTGACCTTCTCCTGCTTGTCTATCTTGGCAGCACCGGCGCTGGGGTTGCTGGGGTCGAGCAGCATTTGGTACTGGCTGTTGGGCGTGTAGGGTGTCCTGAAGGGAGAGTAATTAAAAACCCCAAACTTCCTGCGGATGTTCTCCACGTACACCTCCATCTCCTGCATTGCACTGTTGAAGATGCTTTTTGTCTTTTTCACAGAAAAAGGAATTTCTTTAGACATGAGGTAGCAATTATTTATTGGAACCCAGGCCCTAGGAGTGCAGAAAAGAAACAAGAGTTGAAGTCAACTTTGGTCCTGTCAGAGATTCCGCTCTTCTTTTTTTTTCAAGTTTTTTTTTCTTAAATGTATTATATCACAGTACGTTTAAGTGTTGGGCGCAGATTGTACAGTAGATCTCTACAGCCTATTAGTCATAACTGAAATTTTATGCCCGATGATTAGTTACCCCCCACATCTCCCCACCCCCACCCCTGGCAAACTACCATTCCACCCTTTGATTCTGTGGATCTGACATGAGATACCTCCTATAAGTAGAATTCATGCAGTTATTTGTCTTTCTGTGACTGGCTTATCTCACTTAGCACAATGTCCTCCGGGTTCAACTATGTTGCCCATCTTTTTTTTTCTTTATTTACCATATTATCTTTTTTTTTTAAGGTTATGTTAGTCACCATTCGTTACATCATTAGTTTCTGATGTAGTGTTCCATGATTCATTGTTTGTGTATAACACCCAGTGCTCCACGCAGAACGTGCCCTCCTTAATACCCATCACCGGGCTAACCCATCCCCCCCAAGTCCCTCCCCTCTAGAACCATCAGTTTGTTTCTCAGAGTCCATAGTCTCTCATGGTTCGTCTCCCCGTCCAAATTGCCCCCCTTCATTTTTCCCTTCCTACTACCTTTTTTTTTTTTAAGGCTGAATAGGAACACCTGATATGTACATACCACAACTTCTTTATCTGTTCATCTGTCAGTGGACATTTAGGCTGTTTCCAGAACTGTCTTTTCCTTAATGCAAACCACATTAGCCTTGTATGTTTGCCAAGATTGTTTTCTGTGGGTTTTTTTGGCCAAGATTCTTAAAAACATATCTATTCTTTAAAAGTTACTTGGTTTGCATGGTTAATACATGATTTAACCATTAACCCAGACATGTTCTGTCATAAGAACAGAACACCAACAGCAAACTTAGTGAAAACATTAAAAGGCTCCTAAATGTAGTCATTTTAATCCATTAAAAAAATAGTAAATCCCCTTTTGGCTTTGGGTGAGTAGAGAGTAAGAAAACAGTCACTATGGGTACCTAGGGGGCTCAGTTGGTTAAGCGTCCGACTCTTGGTTTTGGTTCAGGTCATGATCTCAGGGTCGTGAGATCAAGCCCTTGAGTCAGGCTCCGCACTGGGAGTGGAGACAGCGTAAGATTCTCTCTCTCCCTCTCTCTCTCTCCCTCTCGCTCTGCCCCTCCCTGGCCCCCATGCCCATCCATGCGTGCTCTCTCAAAAAAAAAAAAAAATTAAAAAAAAGAAAGAATAAACGTTTTGGGGCGCTTTAAAGTGGCACAGTCCACTGAGCACCTGACTCTTGGTTTTGGCTCAGGTCATGATCTCAAAGTCATGGAGACTGAGCCCCACGATGGGCTCCATGCTCAGCGAAGAATCTGCTTGGATTCTCTCTTCCGCTCCCTCTCCCTCTACCCCTCCCCACCACACGTTCTCTCTCCCTCTCTCATAAATAAATATTAAAAAGAAAGAAAGAAAACAGTCCCTGCATCCAGGGCTGCAAGAGAATCAGTCCCAAAGTCACTGCTCTGCACTCAGACGTAAAGAGCTTTCCTATTCTTGTAAAACGGGGGTTCTACATGGCACTAGAAGAAAACACTAGAAAACCATAACCCTGAGAGGAGATGCATGGCTTCAAATAGGAGATAATTCACGTGGAAAATAAGCAAGGAACAGCCTCCACCTTCCATTCCCGACTGGTTTTGTCTTCCTGCCTTCAACCCCCCACAACCCAGTGCTCTGCAGAGCCTTCACGAGAGCAAGAGCTGCTTTTCTGGAATCAGTGGCCAAGTGACTGCAGGCAGGAGATGGCAGTATAACCTACCACCGCTCTGGGCGGGGACTGAGCCCAAGCAAGAACTGGAGGGCAGACTGTGTGACATCTGATTCCCCAGCCTCAAACCCGAGCCCGTTTGCAGCTGGGAATCTGGTGAGAATGAGCTTTTTCCAGGGAGGCCTTTAAGATTTCACAGACCGTAAACTCAATGCCAGACACAAAGCAATGGGGAACAAAGTGGACGGTGGGGAGATAGAACAGTCCAACGCAAGCACTGTCTACTGGGGAACCTCACACATGCCCGTGCAGGAATCTGGACACCCCCGCCCCACCACTGCGGAGTCTCCCAGCATTTTAAAGAGAAGCAAAAAATATGGACTGCTTATATTGCATTCTACCCAAGTGTTAACGTCTCGTTCCTATTTTGAAGAGAAAGCAGCCCAGGAAAAATCAAGTATGTGCATGGGGTGGAATTCAGGGCACAGACTGGGGAGGTTTGCCACTCCCAGTGATAAATAGATCGTGACAACACTAAAACCGAACACCCCAAAAATATCTTAACTGCTCTCTCAGCGTGCTGGAAATTACCAGCTTCTCATCTACCCCAACTCACTGCTGTTATCCCACAGAGACCTGAGGAACCACATCTGCAGCCAAACAGAACGAGGCAGAGCAGGAGCCAGATGCCCCGTGGGTGAGAGTCTGTGGCTGTTACAACTGGGTGAGCAGGAGTCTGGACTAGACAGGACAGCTCGGAGGAGAAGCCAGGATCCCCCAAATGCCCCCGGACAAACGACTCCCCCTCCCCGAGCCGGCCTCGGCTCTGTCATCTTGATAAGGTGGAGGATGAGCCCCTCCCTTGGAGCAGGGTCACAGGGAACAAATGAAATGCACCTGGGCCAGGTGGCCAGTCCCCAGAGCACCGGGAGCCCAGCACACAAGCCAGCCACTGTGACTGTGTTCCCCCCACACCTCTGCCTGGGGTCGGGGCCTTAACTGTTTCCTGCCAGGGTCTCAGCTGCCTTCCATGAAGGTGTCTGCCACTGATTTCAGGAAAGTGTTCCCTTTCCTTAGAGCAGGCCCAGGACAGAGTTAAAGGGAACTTAGATTTGCTTAACAAAAATAAAACCTCTGGGGGCAATGTTATGAGAGGCCCCAGAGTCACACAGCTGAGCTACTCCCTACGCTGGGCCTCAAGTTTTCGTCTCCGTAAAATGAGAATAAAGCAGCTTCTACAAAAAGCGCTTAGAACAATGCCTGCCGCATAGAAGGCACTCCATTCACGCCAGCTCGCTCTTCTGCGGCTCTGCAGGCATTTGATAAAATATTTCCCAGATTTTTATACAGTATCGTGGGTGTCTATGATACCAAACTCCCAAAAGGCAAAAATTTTTAAAGGATAAAAAGCTCACAACAAGACTCTTCAGAACATGACTTGATCTGTAGGACCACCTCCCGGGGCTCGCTCTAGTCTTTATTAACCAGACGATGAACACATAACAGGCTGCGCCATTTCTTATTCTGCTCTCCTAACCAATGTGGCTTACGTGTGTCCAGGCTTATGGTTTGCTCCACAACCCCAAAGTTGCTCCGTGAGAAAGGGACAACCTAGCCCATCTCTTTAGCCTGCACATTGTGCTGCTGGGTCTGACCAGCTCTGCTTGAAGAACATCTCCTGGGAGGAAGGGACTTCAGTGGCCTCATCCCGAGAACTCCCAAGGTTCTGCGACTCCACCACCTACTCCCCACCGCCATGCAGTGTCCTTAACCACTCCAAGGGGCTCCCCTCACCCAAAATGAGCCAACAGTTCGGCACGTCCCCTCCAAGGGAGCAGAAGACACTGAGAGGGTTAGGCAAACATCACGGGCATCAGACTTGGGCTGCCATCTTTTTCACAAATACGGGGGGGAGGGGCGGCTTCCACGACAGTTCCTACCGAGGGCCAACCTACACCAGCAATTTCCGGGGGAAATGGCCTCGGACTAGGGCTAGCAGAGCTCATGTCCCCTAAGCCATCTTCAGTAGCTGTCTGACACACAGGAGAACGTCCATGCAGAATGCGCTAAGCTGAGAGCAGAATCAAAGATGCTAAGAGAATATTTGGTGCATGGGGGGCAAGCACTGATTTCCCCCACCCACCTATGTCCTAAATATATCCACACTGGGTCATATTACAGAACAAGAATAATCCCAAATCATCAAGATGGCTAACACTTGCCCTGCTATAATGAAGTAGCAGGAAGATGCACAACCTGATACTAATTCCTCTTGCTCTTCAAAGAAAAGGCAGACGCTGTGTGATCGGGGCCCTGCCCCCTCCCCCACCCATCTCTTAACAGCCTCTCCCCCGTCCCCCTGTTCAAATCACCCCATGCTCCTGCTTTTCCCAAGCACAGCAGGCTGGCTCTGTCTGTCCCTCCACCCAGATCTTCACCCAGTCTCGGCCATTACCTCCTGATCTGAGATCATCTCGCCTGTATGTTTACTTGTGTATTATCTGTCTTCCCCACTAGGATGCCAGCCTTCAGATGGTTGGGGACAGTGTCTGCCTGCTCACTCCCAAATCCCCAGCAACCAGCACATGACCTGGCCCACAGCAGGCACCAAAAGATTTCCAGCAAAGTGGTCAAAATCAAACAAAGCAAAATACTTCCTATCAAACCCGGGCGCCTGGGTGGCTCAGATGGTTAAGCGTCTGCCTTCAGCTTGGGTCATGGTCCCAGAGTCCTGGGATCAAGCCCCACATCAGGCTCCTGGCTCAGTGGGAAGCCTGCTTCTCCCTCTCCTTCTGCCTCTCCCCCTGCTCATGCACACAATCTCTCTATTATCTCTGAGTCCCAAATGAATAAATAAACTCTTTAAAAAAAAAACAAACAAACAAACCCAGGACCCTCTCAGCAAATTCCCATTTTGCCTCCAGACAACAGATTTCTAGCAAAATTCACTCTTCAGTTTTTTATTTGCAAGACAAGCAGAACTGAACAGACTAACAGTTCGGATTCCAGTGTTTGAAATTATACACTGTATTTTCTGTATAGTCTGTGGCTGTATATAATTTTTAGGGTACGTGTTTTAAGTATTCTCCCCAACACAAACACTTTTTCAAACTACTTGGTAGGGCTTCGAAAGGTTTTTGCCTCGTTTAATCACAACACAGCGTGCTAAAAGAGAACTGAGATATTAACCATGGCTCATCTGGGTCTACCTGTTGTTCTCAAGCATGTAGGAGCAGGAACTGCTAAGAGCTGGAACAATTCACTTCCCTGTGAGCAAGGAAAAGGGGAGGGTAGAAAGGCTGGCGGGGAGGGCTCCCACCTCTTAAAACAGCCACCTCTTATAATTTCCTATTTTAGCTTCAGAGAAAAGGCAACAGGAGGGAACCACCCAGCACAATGATAAGAGATTCATTTACTGGCAATCTGGGGAAATACTTCTGATCTCTGAAAGCATTATTTTGAAAAGCAATTTGCACGGCAGTTTAATTTGCTCTAGAAAATCCAAAAAAGAACAAGCAGCACTTAAAATAGCCATGGTGCCAGTTTCATCAACAAAACTACGAAAGCAAGATTCTTCTCTTAAACATACCTGAAAACACTGAAGCCCACACATTATCAGGCTTAACACAGCCCAGGACTGTATTTTTAACCACAAGATCACTGGTTGGTGTCATGACAATAAACAACACAATAATACCTCTGCCTCTGCTTGCACCCATGATAGTATCAAAGGTTCAGTTAACGCTATACGTTTGCAGCCGGTTTGATCTCCCACCTGTCATGTTGTCCAAAGAAACGAGCATCAACCTGCCCATCTTTATCCCGCAGAGCTTTTGCAGGCCAGAATGGAAACCCCTTCAGTTTTGCCCAGACCAAAGGATGTGGATTGCTCTAGGAAAAGAAAAATAAAATCCAGAGTTTGTATGTATTTGACAGCAAGACACACATTTAAAGCTTGGTGTGTGACAATACAACAAGGCCACCAACTGAATGAGAACAGTTCCAGGCAGGGTCTCCCAAGTGGGCTCGCCTAGGAGGGCGTGAGGCCAGTAAGCCCCAGGCAAAGCTGGTTCTGGGGATGAACGACAAATCAGAAGGATGGAGCACCGACAAGACCAGGCACGGACCCTGGCTCTAATGCTATTACCCAGGTGGCCATGAGCAAGAGCGACCACCTTCCCCTGCAACATGGAGACAGCAATGCCTACACCCTCCTTTGAGTTGGGGAATTAAATGTGCATTATAACTGACAGGTAACAAGGGGTACAATCAGCCACCTTTGTCCTTTATTGAGGCTGCCCAGAGCCTTAATTATGCAGGTACTTACTTCCAAAGACAGAAGAGACATAAACTATGTTCTACTTTTCCACTTTACTGGCCCCCATCTTGCCTTCCAGTAAGCTCCACCCCTACTTCCTCCCACCCTCCCACCAGCCCACCCCAAGAACACACTTCTCTGCAGAACACCAGTTTGGAAAATGCAGATCCATGAGGAAAACCGGGTGATTTTTCTCTCTCCAACCCCTACCCCAAACCACCAAGTTGGAGAGACCATTGAGGCAATCCAGAGAGGTATTTCCAAACCTCTCAACACAGATCCAAAAGAACACACTCACTGAACTCTCTTCCCGCTATCTGCATTACCATGGGGCGCCCCCCTCCCTGATGAGCTCCTTCTTGCTCTCTACCCTGCAGCCGGCCCTGGATTAATAAACCCAGGAAATCACAATGCTCCCTTTGGCACATGAATGTTCAGCCCCAGAGGTTTATTCTTGCTGGATCACTTACATTCTGCCCTAACTTTATCACTACAAAAATCATTTAAAAACTTCACCCAGTGGGGCGCCTGGGTGGCTCAGTAATTAGGTGTCTGCCTTCGGCTCAGGTCATGATCCCAGGTCCTGGAATCAAGCCCCACATCGGGCTCCCTGCTCGGCGGGAAGCCTGCTTCTCCCTCTCCCACTCCCGCTGCTTGTGTTCCTGCTCTCGCTGTCTCTGTCAAATAAATAAATAAAATCTTTAAAAAAAACAAAAAAAAAACACTTCACCCAAAGTTTCACCGAATAAACCACCTGGACAAAGTAGCCTTGGGTAGCCATCTAAGGCATGGGGCTCAGAAAATGAAGTAAGGAAGGGTACCTGGGTGGCTCAGTTGGTTAAGCGACTGCCTTCGGCTCAGGTCATGATCCTGGAGTCCCAGGATCGAGTTCCACATCGGGCTCCCTGCTCAGCAGGGAGTCTGCTTCTCCCTCTGACCCTCCCCCCTCTTGTGCTCTCTCTCTGTCTCTCTCTCTCTCAAATAAATAAATAAAATCTTTAAAAAAAAAAAAAGAAAATGAAATAAGGAAAAGAAATGCAACTTACACAAGGCTCACAAAACCAGTTATCTCGTTTTTGGCAAGCAGCTAGGTAACACTCTGGACATACTTCAATTTCATTCATCTGTAAAGCAAAAACATGTTAGGATGTGTCATCCCAGGGTCCTCACATCTGGAGGCCCTCAAGGAATGCATGATGGTGTGAGCAGTTAAGGTTAGCTAAACCAGGTCCGACAGTGGGGAACACCCTCAAGAAGAGTCCAACTACCCCCCACCAACCCCCTTGCTTCACCTAACCCAAGCCACCACCACCACCACCTCCTCTCTCTCTGGACCACGTCTGGATCAGCTTCTACTCTTGTGCCCACTGTGGTCCATCCCCCAAGACACAGCAGCAGGGCCATCATGTGCCAACGTTTACCTGACCGTGGGTTGCAACTGGAATCTATGAGGTGCAGGACAGTCCCCGAGACAAAGAATTCCCCAGCCAAAATGTCAGTAGTACAAAGCTGAGAAACTAACAAGGAAATCTAAACTTCTGATGAGCTCCGTCAATGCCAAGTGTGTCCAGGCCTTGGGCCTCCTGAGCTCCCCAACCACCTCCAGAACCGCTCGGCCTCTGCTCACTGTGCTCAATTCCCACACATGTCTAATCACACCATCCAGGGCAGCAGGTGCTCAATACCCTGTTGCCTTATTTTCTCTCCACCGATGACAATCTGGAATTGTGTAGTCTGCAGACCGTCCTTCTCCCTCTTGAAAAAGTACATTCCCCTAGAAAATCTAAGTCTGACCTAGAATCAAGGACCCCAGAAGCCCATTTCCTAGCTCTGTAACTCTAGGAACGGTTGCCTATCTTGTCTGAGGCTCCATTTCCTTCCCATTTCCTCATGTACAGAATGGGGATGCGAGCAACACCTACCAAACGGGATTTTAACAATTATAGGAGATGAATGTAAAGCACTTCAAGTGACACAGTAATCAATACATTAGTTAACACTGATCAGAGATCTCTGCTGGGATCACTGAAGTGATCTACAGGTACCGATCCATTTATTCCTCACACTCCCTTCAAAGGCAGGACTGCTGTTACCCACATGTGACGGAGAAAATGAAGCCCCAGAAAGTCAGGACATCTGCCCAAAGTCTCACAGCTGGAAAGTGACAGGGCCAGGATTTGAACCCAGGCAGTTATAACATTATAACTAATAATGTTGTAACTATAATTGACTAACTTAAAGGTGAGTGAATAAAGGAACTAAAGAATACATGCATGAATGAATGATGCCATATAGTTCCTCCTTCTGCTCACTCTACTTGTACGCTATTCCAAAGGTACAGGGTAAAGAAGGTGGTAACGTCAGGTCCAGGAGAGCCCTGCCTTGAAGCCCGAACAGGGGCAATGTGTTGCCAACAGGTAGATTCAGAAATGGCAGACACAAAGCATCTGGGTTCAATAAATTCCACCTCGCGCAACCCACCAATGATTAAAAGCCTAGGCTTTAGCTCCCAAATATAGGAAAACAAATGAATCCCCAAGGGGGAAACAACTGGACAACTCATTCATACAAAACTCCAAATCAATAATAAACATATAAAAAACAGTCCATCGGGCGCCTGAGTGGCTCAGTCGGTTAAGCGTCAGCCTTCGGCTCAGGCTGTGATCCCAGGGTCCTGGAATCGAGCCCCACATCAGGCTGCCTGCTCAGCGGGGAGTCTGCTTCTCCCTTTCCGTGCCGCTCCCCCTGCTTGTGCTCTCTCTCTCACTCTATTAAATAAATAAAATCTTTAAAAAAAGAAAAAAAAAAAAACAGTCCATCACCACTTGTCTTCAAAGAAGTGCAAACCAAACTCATGGTGACATGCCTGGTTTTACTGATTGCATTGCAAGAACGTCCAATATTGAGAAGGACACAGAAAAACTACCATACTCACCCATCCCAGGCTGTTGTTTAAGATGCTACAGCTTTTCCAGAAGCCAATGAGGAAATATCTACCTAGAGCCTTAGTATAAATGTTAGAAAGGTACCTATCATGTCTAAGGGTTAACATTTCTAACATTTATACTAAGAAAATCATCACAACAGCCATGAAAAATTCTGTCGTTCCTGTGTGTTTAATTACAATGGGCAAACACTCAAACTAAGTGAAAAATATAAATTATAAAACTCTCTACAAAAATAGGTAGAAATGGACATACCCTGAGATATCCAAGTGTTTTCCTTACAAATGAATGGATGAATGAATGAAGTACACAGACATGTTTAAGTCCATTACGTCTAGGTTTCTCACTCCTATGATGGGGGTCTAATAAAGCCTCCCTGGTACTGTTTCTGCTCCCAGCCCACCCTACAACCACTAGGGCCTCAGGGCCTTTCTTTCACATCATCAAAACTGTATTTCCAAGAGGGAATGACTCTCCAGGACTCTCCAGGCCACTCCCTGAAAAACAATCAGGACCTTTCCAAGACATAACATCAAAACCCAAACATCTTCCCCAAGAAGAGTAAAAGGGGCCTGGCCCAATGCCACAGATTGTAGGGTGAACAAATCATGAGGCCTATCTATGCAACTAAGAAAACTCAGGATGCCCAATGCTTGTGCTTGACCATGACTCAAAACTGAGTAATACAAGGTCATCTCCACCTCCCTTAGATCATGGGTCAGATAAGGGTGGTTTATAACATACTGGGGTCCACTCTTTGTCGCTTTTACTTTTCTTTGAAGACAGGGGGGCACTGTATGTGCCTCAACAAATCCCCAAACTGGGATGCCTGGGTGGCTCAGTCAGTTGAGTGTCTGCCTTCCGCTCAGGTCATGATTCCAGGGTCCTAGGATCAAGTCCTGCATTGGGCTCCCTGCTCAGCAGGGAGCCTGCTTCTCCTTCTCCCTCTGCCTGCCCCTGCCCCTGCTTGTGCTTTCTTTCTCTCTCTCTCTCTCTCTCTCTCTCAAATAAATAAAACCTTTTTAAAAAATAAATAGATAAATCCCAAAACTGCCATAGCTACCCACTGAGAGATTCTGCAGATAGAAACCAGCCACCCCAGCCCCTCACTCTGGGTGCATTTAAAATCGGACAGTGAGAAACACATACCTCATGCTCACAGATTTTGATGACTACTTTTGCTATCTGCGTCAATTTGTGATTTCCTAAAGGAATAAAAAAGTATGATTAATTCAAATGGAAACACAACTATTAACACCCAACCATGGGGTTATACTTCCACTAACAACCTTTCAACTTGCTTCCCCCCAGGATTAAGCTTCAAAGGCTAAAAACCAGAAGATTCTGGCTCCTGATATTGGTTCAAATTATGTGACTTCTCCCCTAAACACTGAGCAATCTTTGGTGCCTCAATGTCATCTCTGAAACTGAGTAATTTGTGTGGGATTCCTACAGCTCACAGGTTAATATCGGGAAGATGCTTTCACGTTTGAAAGGCTCTAATTAGTGGAAAGGAGCCTCATTCGCCCATTGTTCCAGACTCCACATGTAAAGTAACAGGGGAGAGAAAATAAGTAGCTCTGCTGTGCCTGGTGCTTCGAAATACATTTTCTTAACTCCTCAAGAAGCTGTACTAGGAAGCAGGTATGAATGCTCCCCTTTCATTAATGAGTAAGCCAAGGCTCAGGAGTCATTGCTTACACGAGACTATTTAGCTAATGAACTGAAAATCTGGCCCCAGATCTAACTCTAAATCCCTCACCTGCACACTAAACCAGAAGACAAGATGGCTGAAAAGCCATGCTTTCTTCAGACATTATGGTATTTCCAGACATTGTCAATTTCTTGGCAAAAAGATTTTACATACATACACACACACACACACACACACACACACACACACACACACACACACACCCCTTCCTAGATTTCTGGCTTGCCTTGAAAACTCAAAAAATCTGATAACTCTGTATCCAAAAACGACTGGGGTGTCCAGTGGTGACCCCTTCAGAACACGTAGGAGTTCATTCCCCCAGTTTATCAGGCTCTAGTTCTCCCCTTGGCCAATGGCCATGCTGGCTTGTGCTGCTATTTTTCTGCCACCTAATCTCATCCACTTGCTTATGTGATCTTACACCAGCCTTTCTACATATTTGAGTTAATAATCTTTACATGAATTTTCAACCGAGTGCCTCTCTCTCCCCTCCCCATACCACTGGCCCCGCTACTGAGCTAATAATGCAGAACGTGTGCTTTGAGCAGAGAGCCACCCCCTCATACATCTTCCCTTATACATTAGCTAACCATCTACCCTAGGACCATACGGGAAGAAGACAGGGCGCCTGCTCTTCAAGATCTTACACCCAAAAAAGGGGGGGAAAAAAATATCTTAACATCCTCAAACAAATAAAATTAGCACCATCCAGGAAGTGTGATAAACGCGACCATGGGCCAGTACAGGTACTATGAGATCTCCTAACGGGAGCATCTGGTATGGTCTGGGTCCATAAGGGAAGGCTCCTCAGAGGACTGAGGCTGACACCGAAGGATAAGAAAAAGTCATGAAGGCAGAGTGTTCTAGCAGAGCACAAGAGGAAGAGAATGGAGCAGGACACTGGAAGAGCTACCTGGCCAGAAGGTAGACAGAGAGGACTGTGGGAGAAGGTGGGGCAATGTGAAAGGTGCCATGAGAGCAGATTTTAATAGGAATCCTCTTCCATTCTGTCCTGAAGGCTCAATCCACAAAAACGCAACTGACACAACTTTATCCGGAATACAAAGAACTCCTAAAATGCAGTAATAAAAACACAAACCACCCAGTTCTTGAAATGAGCAAAAGATCTGAATACATATTTTACCAAAAAAAGATACACCAGTGATTAATAAACACATGAAAAACTACACAATACCTTTAATTCTAAGGAAAAGGCAAATGAACACCACCGTGACATTAACAGTTCACACTTCCAAGAATGGCTAAAATTAAAAAGACCGACAACACCAAGTGTTGACAAGGATGTAGAGCAACTAAGACTCTCCTATGCATGGCTACAAGAGTATAAAATGATACAACCACTTTGCAGAAAGTTTGCCAAAATGTCTTGTAAATTTTTTTTTTTTAAGATTTTATTTATTTATTTGGCAGAGAGAGAGAGACA